GTATTCGGCAGATCAGGAAATGTAGCCAAATTTTTAAGTTCAGGTGCCTGTGCATGGTATGATCATTCTGTTCCTGTTTTTTTGATCCTGTGTTATGAGTTCTTTGCTTATAGAGCTTCTTGTAAACGTTGCAGCCTCTATAGCTTGCAGAGTGGTTCTCACCACATAGTCCACATTTTGCTGGTTTATTCAGCGGTTTCTGGCAACTGTCTGCGGCGTGAGGACCTGCACATTTGACACATCTCGCCGAGTGATGGCAGTAGGCCTTTTATGCCTCAAGTTTTGACATGTGGTGCATTGCAGGATTATGAGTTTATGCTTCGACTCTTAAATCTAACAGTTGAATACATCAATCCATCAACTTTAAAGATTTCAGCATTATTCCGGGCTGGTTCACGATCAATGGAAAATAATAGTAGAGGATATTTTTCAATAGGGTGTAATACCGATGATATATGCCCATCGTTGTGGCCGATGTCTGAGTGAGGATGGTTGAGTGAAGACCTCTCAAAACCACCCTATATGTTTTTTTTTTCATTAAGTTGGTAACAGTGGAATTCATAATTATTTACTGTTAAATGATTAATGAGTTTTTTATAATTATCTTTGGAATTAGTGTTAATCTTTATATGATTAATACGAGAAAAACACTGGAAGTTGGGCTGTCCAATCAGATCGGCTATTTATTGACCGAACTGCATGAAGTTATCAATTTTACTTAAGTAAATCGGTGATTGCTCTGGTTTGGTGAACGTACTAGGTTCTGTGATCTCATTCGGTTTATAGCTGGCGGCAATTGAATTGTTGCTGTATGTGCTGGTAGGTGGTTTAGATTCAGGTTTGATTATTGAATTAGTAATAGTGCTATTTTTTGTTTGTTTATTCTGTTCTGCTTTAAGTGACTGCTTTGCTTTAGAAGATTTGTTTTGTTTTTTATTTGGCAAATTGCCCATCGACCCAGGGGCAGAGTTGTGGTGGCGCTTTTATAGAGTTCGCCTCGTTAAGTATTGAGAATTGGTCTCGCTGATTTCAGAGAAGGGAGTCTCATCCTCCGAATCATCACAAGAAATGTTTTTGTCTGGTTCCATACCACTAAATAAAATGTATACAAGAAGAAAAAAAAAAACCAATCACTAATAAAAAGGTTTACAAAATAAATATTTAAAAACTAATCTATTAACAAAATTATGTACAAATATTAAATAAAACATTCTCTGTAAATAAATAAAATTAAAGAGACTCACTAAAGAGAAAAAAAATATATACTGTATTTAGGTACGAACTCTAAACTGTCCATCAGTAATACAGTTCTATGGCCGTGAGCTTGAAAGATAAGACCCATTATGGGGAATTACCTGCCATGTAAGCTATCTCTAGAAATGAACACCAGTTAATGTTACTAATTGTACATTAAAATCACTCATCTCACTGATTATAATGTTAGAATGTTTAATTGTTTATAAACTGACTGTTTACGAAGTCTGGTAGTAGGATTTAAGATGACACCCCCTTGACAGAGAAGCAAACTAGAATGATATGAGTGTTTTATATTTAATTTAAATCTTGCGTTAATTTTGGGATACCCTTTACAATACATTCATGTTGTTTAAATAGAACAGGTATTAATGAAGCGGTCATTTGAAGTATATTAAAATTGAATTATGTAATTTCAAAAAGCTTTTTTTGAATTTCTAACATTATGTTAACATGATTTGCAAGATCTTTCTCCTGACTACCTCAGTCAAGATTCTTCCACTTTTGTCCATTTTTGAAAAATTAATATAACATTCACGATTTTAGATCTATGAATGGTTCAACTCTTGGGATACTGGCTTGTATGATGATTTTTTTTTTTTTTTTTTTTTTTGGAGATGTTTGTGGAGAGAGCTATTGGTGTTTTGGGATATATCTATCAGCTATGGTGATAGTTTGCAGTGACTTTCGCTTGCATCTGAATTCACAGCTTCATTTAAAGTCCTTTTGTCTATTATTGAAGATACTATTCATTGAAGATACCACAGTCCACTTTCTTTCTTAATTCTTCCAAATTGCATTCTCCAAGGAAAGTCGCTTTTTTCTGTACTGTCATAAAATTACCTAAATTTCTTACTCCAAAGCCATTTTATAAACAATACATTAAGCAAGTCTTAGCAATCAGAAAATCATTCAATTTACTTACCATTTGCTTATTGTTAAAAAATTAATATTATACCTTATTCTGATTAATTTCCATAAATAAAGGGCGCATTTGGTAAATAATAAGCAAAAAACTTTACATATATCTCCTTTTACTCAATCCAATATTTTTAATATAAATGCTAATTAATTCAAGGATACACAGGTTAATAATATGATATTATGTATTTTTTTTTTTACTAGGATGCTACTTACAGCACCGATTTCAATGAAACTGACCTGGTTAAAACTGTGGATGAATGCCCAAAAAATGATCCTAAAAAATTCCTCCTAGGTGACTTAAATGCACAAGTAGGATGGGAACTGGCACATAGACTAACCATAGGGTCCTTCAGCATGCATTAGTGGACCAATAAGAATAGTCATAGACTGGTTAGCTTTGCAGCATCAAAGGGACTGGTAATTGGTGGGACTTTTTTAAAGAAGAAGAGGATCCCTCAAGCTACATGGCTATCACCGGATGTAAGGAGCCAAATTGATCATCTACTAATAAGTATGAACCACAAGTCAGACTTGGTTGATTTGAGGATCTGCAGAGGAGCGAATGCTGATTCTGATCATTATATGAGTGTGGCAAAGATCAGAGCCAGGATCTCAACTACAGAAACGTTGAGCACAAAAGGTGTTACAATACTGAAAAGCAAAAGGACTCCAAAGTATAAGATTTGTATCATAAAAGGCTTAATATGAACCTGATGACTGCACTCCGGAGCGCTGGTGACAGCATAGACAATAGATGGGAAGCATGCTCACATTCCATAAATACTGCTGCACAAGACATACTGGACCTCATACAAAGGGAATCCTATAAAGGCTGGTATGATGAAGAATGCCATGAAGTGATAATTAATAAAAATGAAGCCTATGGAAAGATGATCCAGACATGGCAATCCTGCAAATCATACAGACAGTACAGAAGAAATGAGAAGAGGGTCCATCAAAGAAAGAAGAGAGCTTGGAAAAGTAGGAAGCTGGAAGATGTAGAGTATCTTAGAGCATCAAATGATACACGCTTGTTCTTTCAGCGACTAAATGAAGGAAGAGCAGCCTTTAAACCGAAAATAAAATGCTCTTAATTGAAAAGAATGCTATCCTACATCGATGGAATCGGCACTTCGGGAAGCTCCTCAACAAAGAAAAAGCAATGGAGAAACATGGAGGAGGAAGAAGAGAACAAGTGTGGAAGGAATGATGAAATGGATGCAGAGCCACCTCATGATGAAGAGATGGGGAAGGCAATAAAGAATTACAAAGCCCTGGGATATGACCGAATTCAAGCAGAACTCCTGAAGCACATTGGTGAAAGTCTTCAAAAAGTCCTCCATGAAATAATATTATCGATATGGGAGGAAGAAGACCTACCAGAAGCATGGAAACAAGCAGTAATAATCCTTATCCATAAAAAAGAAGACCAGACTGACTGTAAGAATTATAGAATTATTATTACCATGCGCCTTTTAAGTCCTGTCCAATATAGTATTTGGCAGACTTGTTCCCCATACAGAAAGAGTACTTGGGAAATACCAAGCTGGGTTCAGAAAGGGACGTTCCACCACTGACTAGATCTTCTCTATTAAGATGATTCTTGAGAAGGCATGCGAATATCAAATCACAACACATCATTTGTTTGTCGAGTGTTTAGCCTATGACAGTGTTGACCGAATAGTATGAATCGGGCTTGGTATGATCTCAATATTGCCCCCAGGCTAATACGGCTCGCTAAAATGATGTTGAAAAAGAAAAAATACATAATGCAGATTAGATTCCAGTACGGGAGTTAGAAAAGGAGATGTGCTGGCCTGTATGCTTTTTAATCTTGCTGAGAGCCATAAGTGAATCTAGTATACAAACAGTGTGCTCAGTTTTCAACAGAACCATGCATATATTCAGATACGCTGATGACTTTGACATTGTTACTAGCTCCCAAACTGTAGCAGACATCCACATGCAGACACAATAGACATTCCAAACTGAAAGAAGCATTTCTTCAGCTAAGAAATTAGGACTTGCTGTCAACGAAACAAAAATGAAATATATGATGGCAGGACCAGAGCAATTCCAGGATGGTCATATTGAAATTGGAATATATATGTTTGAGAGGGTGCAACACTTCGTTTACTTGGAGTCTGGAGATGAATTCAGATAGTAATGTATCTCAAGATATGAAATGTCAGATTGCAGCTGCAAACAGGTGCTATTTTGGCCTCACCAAGCTATTTAAAAGTAGGTATACTACTAATGAGACCAAAGTGAGGATTCACAAAGTCCTAGTTTACCTGGTCCTACATAATACTCCTGAGGAGTTATGAATATTTTAATAAACAGCATGAAAAAAAATCCTCCCAGAAAATTAGGTCCAAAAATTTATTTTTTTCGTGACAAAAATTCACTTGGCCTACATTACTGAAAGCGTCTTTAAGTTTTTGTTATTTATTATATATTAAAATTCTTTTAATACAATTGACAATATTGTTTTCTTATTTTACATTAAAAAAACAAATTGATTGATATAATAACTTAGAAATCCATGCAGAGCAAAGTCAGAAAACATTAATATTAAAAAATAATAAAATGTTATAAAAACATTTTTTTTTGGTTCCTTGGGCGCATTAGCAAGAACTCTAGGACAACGGTCAAATATTTTTCAAGTAATAATATTATAGTATCACCAAAAACCTAGTATCACAAAAAAAAAGTTTAATTGAAATCAGTAATCCCACGTCCGTAACCTTTGATTGTTAGTAAAAATATGTAGATTAAATAAAATATTTTCAATAGTTCTAATATTGATGTATTTATTTTAGGGTGTGTATGGACCAGCAGATGGACACTGTGTTCTTCCCTTGTGGTCATGTGGTATGCTGTGCAGTATGTGCAGAAAAGTTGGAGACTTGCCCATTGTGCAGAGCTGAGGTGGAAGATGCTCGTAAAGTCTATCTACCTACAAGGGAACTAGCTTATGAAGCGCTTCACACTTTATAGCTTCACTTTATCAAAATCATTCATTTTTTTTTTTTTATAGTAAGCATCTGGTTTTATTTAAATAGGACATGGTGTTACATTAAACCTTAAAATTAAATTCTGACCCAGTTCCATAGACATTGTTAGTCTGACCAGTCTGTCAGTAACAATTTTATGTGACTATAATTTTTTTTATAACTTTTTTATTTTTTGTAAAAAATGTACTAATGAGTAAAATTCTAACAATATAAATGTACAATGTTCATATATATTTTTTTGTGATTTGAACTTTTTACCCAACTATATTGTGTTTTTCATAATTTATATTTAAAAACCATATTTATTTGATTAATTAATAAATTACAAATTAATGAAGAAGAAACAGTTTTAGTGTTTGTCTTAATAGATTGATATCTATTAATATTCTGATCATGATCATAATCAGTTCTATGTTTCTTGATTAATTAACACTTTGACTGCGGGAGCTCATTCAGGAGTTTCTGCCATACGTTGCATCCTGAAAGCCACAAAGACTTCCAAATAAAGTGATTTTTTTTTTTGGCATAAATTTGTTTTAAATGCTATTTTGAGTCTCCCTGCAAGATCTTAGATTTCAAAAATGCATTTTAACGTTTTTATACAACTTAAAAAAAACGGGATATATGCCTTGCAACAGGCTGTACATGGCAACGCAAAATTAGAGCGGCGACCCCGCAACACTTTGCATTCTTGCGTATTTGCTCATTTTTGAACAGCAAAATAACTGAAAATAATCAAAAAAATAACTGTAAGTGATCATCAAAATTAAATTATATTATTTCTAATAAATTATATATTTATTTGTACTTACAAATTATTTTCTTACTTTAAAAAGTTCCATATTGAAAATAGCACAGTTATAAATTTTATTACTCCACTTACATTTATTTTGAGTTTTTAAACACTTTTATGTTATACGAAAGATATATATTTATTTATACATATATATATATATTGTTTTTAGGTGGATGGAAAACTGATAAAACAACTAAAGCATCATTTTAATTCTTTATATTTTTACATTTATTATTAAATTTTAATTTAAGGGAGTGGGGTAGCTCAGTGGTAGGTCCCAGGTTCGAACCCCGGCTGATGACAGAAAATTTATTTATCTGTTTCATTGGCCGTGGGGCGACCCTGGGTTGGGAGACCCTCCTGGGGCACACCCAGCCTCTATAAAGTGGGTACCCTTAATTAAATAATTGATTAAGGGGGAAAACCTGGTGGTTGAGCGTGTTCAAATCACCTCCTTGCACAACCATTGACCTAGAAACCGTGTTTTCCCTAAATAGTACTGAACCCCAGACCTTCATGGGTTGTAGTGGTACAGGTTTTTATATATAAATAGAAACTTACATTTGTGTGTTTAGTAGAAAGAGATTCATGTGTACCAAAATCAGCATTCAGACAAAACCAAAATAATAAGAAATTATAAAATTAAGTTATTAACATTTATTTTATGTATACAATTTTTAAATAGAATATAAATAAGATCATGGATATGACACAAATAACAGAGAATGGACATATCTTGGGTTCAGAATAAATCTGCAACTGATAGCTTCCAAATGGTCAGAATCCAGAACGACTGCTCTGAGTTAGCTACAGGGGACTAATGAATGCACATATCAAGCCACAAGTCAAATGGTAAAGGTGGGACTTGCCCATACCTGTTTAAGTGGCGACCACCCAGGCGGGAAGGCATATATTCCAGCCGCACCAGTGACCCAACTCACTACCAGGAAGGCATATATCCCTTCCACACCAGTGACCCAACTCTTAACGGGAAGGCATGTATCCTGTCTGCAGTCAAAGGGTTAATGCCTGTTTATGATCATGGTCAGACTATGCTTTTGAACTTGTGCTGCAGACCTACATTTTCTCTACTTGTTTAATTTAACTTAATCATCTTGTATAAGCTATTATTGCATTAATATTTGTTCATTTACAGATAGGCTCTTTGTTAATAGAAAGATAATTTTATTTCTATCGCTACAAACTATGCTAGTTGTTTTGTTTCATCAAGAATACTTTTCATAAGGAATCAAAATTATTTGATTATACACTGAACTTTCTTTTTTTCTTTTTTTAAGTGAATTTCATTTTAATAAAACTTTAAAATAATGACTTTCTTTATTCATAAATTACCATGTTTGATTTTATTATTTTAATTTTTAACAACTTTTTGTCCTTCATTTACAATATCTATTTAAAAAGATATCCTTCAACTAGTTTTTATTTGTAGTAGTAAATGTAAAAACTGTGACCTACTAAAACCCATATCTGATTCTGTAGGGGTTTAGTTTAATGTTTATTTATTTTTTTTTTTATTGAGTGAGCATCTTTTTTCATGATGTTGACTATTTCTTAAAAAAGATGTTTTAATTTAAAGATGACTGACTAAAAATGTGTTTTCCACCTGATCATATCAATTCAATGCAGACTTGCATGATAAAATTACGCTTTAGTATATATGATAGGCTTTATGACCTAATCCAATATAACACACTAAGAATTCTTGAAATATATATATTATCAATAATATATGTATATTACCAAATACATTTACAATACAAAAACCAATTATTTATATTCAAACTGGGAGGTTACTGCATGGTTCGCCAGTGCCTTATGCATTACTATGCAACTAATCCACTAAAACTCTGTCAGATGTAAATGAAACAAAACTAGGACTTATATTTAGAACTAATCTTGAAATTTGATTTAAAATGGTCATGCACTAGAATACAATTAACTTCTTTGAAGCTAATGTATTATTAAATGATAATTGACTTCAAATAATCCATTATACAAGATATTTTCCTCATTTAAAATTATATGTGGTTCTAAGAAACTGGTTTACACTTACTTATGAATTTTCGAGATATAATATTGATTGCTATCCTACTACTCGTAATTTTTTCTTTTTTATTATGAATTCTAAATTATAAAAAAAATTAACTTTAACTTAACTAATTAATTTAAAATAAAAAAATGAATTTCTTGTAATATTCCTTAAATGTCCTATGTTCTATTATTGAACAAATCTTAGCGTATAATTTGTTTCACGATTTGATATCTTATCAAGGTTCTGTTAAATTTGAAGTTATGGAAAACAATTAAGTATGATCACTCTAATCTGTTCTTTAGCCATAAATCTAAAGAATAACTTTTCCCAAACACCTGTTTGTTTGCATTAGGTTTTTAATCCAATTTCATTTATTCTTCTATTGTGTTAATAAAAATAAATCACTGTATTAGGATTATCTTTAGAAAAGGTCCAGGGACAAATACTGTTCTTCAAATTATTCAAAATATGTATGGATTAAGAAACAAGCTCATAGAACTATCCTCTTGTCTCCTAAATCTCATTCCTGAATGTATTCATATAAACTACGGCTCATGGAAATATGAACATTTTTTTACATTATTATATTATTACACAACATTATTTTTTTTTACATTATTTCTTTTTTTCGATTGATTTTATTTTGGCCAGATGTAATATATTAATTTTGTTCTATTTTGTTATTCTCAAGGGACTGTGTCCCAGAATAAAGTTATTTTTCTATTTCTATTTCTATTTCTAACATTTTTATACATTCAGTTACAACTTGAATATATATAATATTGCTTTGAATAAAGATAATGAAATCACTTTTATAGTTTTTATAATAAGGATTAGTTGGGCCAATAACTAGATTTTTAACAAAATGTTATCCTTTCATGTCTCTATACTTGTTTATTGACATTAAGGAAATTTCTGAGGTCAGTTCATAAAAACCTGTGCCGCTTGCTTATTTATTTTTATTTTCGTTTTGAATTTTCACATTCAGTGGTCTATTAATTGAAATGCATCAGTCATTCTCCCTTTATACCATAAAAGACTATTAGTGTGTAACATTGTGAAAAACTTTAGTTTTTGCCTTGTTGATGCATCTTATTTTACAACTCTGCAATGGATCCATAATTACTTGAACAGTGTGAATGTGTGTGCTTTTATATATATAAAACTAATACAGATATTTCTCCTCTTATTGTGGTGGTTAAATCACCCTATATTTAAAGTTTTAGTAAATGATGGAAGTTGTCTTAAATTTGATTAAACTACTTCATTGTCTTATTATTACTGGTTTTAGCTATATTTATAGTTGATTATAATAGATGGAATACTGAGACTCATGTTTTACCTATTCCGTGGTGAATTTTTCACACATACTTTCCTGTTATTCATTACTTTGGTGACAAATAATTATCTAAATATAGCAAATTATTTTCTTGTTATATTTATTTCCTGTGTTTAAAATATTTTCTTTTATACATTTGATGATATCATATAAATACATACACATACACATTTGAAATGTTCATTGTGGAAAGTATAGGTATAATTTTTAATGTTTATATATTTTAATCAATCTTTGTTTTTATATTATCTGATTTTATGATGACGATTTAGTACATGTATAATGTTTATTTTTAATTTTGGCTTGTGGAGTAATATGAGAACTATGTCCTAATACATAAATTATTAAGTTCATAGTTAGATTTATTAATACTTTATTCTCTTCTAAAACATAGTGTTAATTTTTCATTTCTTGTTAGTTTATCTGTAATAATCTCAATATCATTTACCATCTCCAAAGTTATCTTATTCAGTGTAATTTAAAATAAGTTTTTAAATGCGAGTAATAACCACCACACATCTTGTTTAGCTTGTTGGGTATTTAAGAAAATTGCTTTTAATTGATGGTCAACTTTACAGATGTTATAAGTAGCAATTTATGGAAAATGTCTAATCTAGGTCTTATAAATGTCACAAGTGGACATCAAACATATATAATTTCCAGTTATTAAGATAACGATTTATAAATAAGGAATTACACGATGGAGTCAAATATTACACCCCTATTTACTCGAAAATATAAAATGTGCCAACATATCTCTGTAGCACGGGCGGATCTACGGGGGGGGGGGGCTTTCGGGCTGAAGCCCCCCCAAAATGGAAAAATATAACCATGTTTTATGGGGAAAAAAATTTAAAAAATACCTCTTAAAGTATTATTGTTTGTGTAATTACATTTAAAAGTACCTAAGGAATAACTTAAACACCATTTCATATAGGTAGTTATTTTCTTTCTGTTTTTCCAAAGTAATTATCGTTATTTTTATGAAAAAAAAAAGTTTCGGGCTGAAGCCCCCCCAAAATTAAATCCTGGATCCACTAGTGCTCTGTAGTCCAGTTACCTTGTACATAGTAAGTTGCATCAAATGTGGGTAGAAGGTTTCTTTTTGTTTTCTTGTATGGGATGTGACTGAGATGCAAAATAAAAGTTTTCGACCTCAGCATAGTATTTGAAGCAATTTGAGTTTTTAGTTTCCCTTGGCTTAAGAAGTACGAGATGGAATCAGAGCCACTGAAGGCGTGAGTGAGAGTGATGAGTTGTCTGTCTGCAAATGTTGATGCCATTGAGTTGAAGACATCTGGCATTTTGCCTCTTCCACACTTCTGAAATAATATGGTCCCTTGTGTGTGACCCTTGAGACCGGTGCGTATGGCCAACAAGCCTGCTATAAGTACAACCTGAAAATCAGAGGCCTTTTAGATAGCTCTAGAGATGATTAGTATGTCAGCATTTTTTTCAGCCTGAAAAACCTCAATGTGTTTGACGAAACAGATTGTATCTAATGTCGAGTGCTATCATATCAGTCTCCTCTGAAGTTTGTTCCTTTATTTTGATGGTCCATTTAGCGACTTTTCGTTTAGTTGTTTTCGGTGTGTTCTTGTTCTTTTCAACAATGATCACATAATTTCTTTTCTCTGGCAGTTTTTACTTCTGTGCTGCAATGAACTCCGTTTTTTATGATCTTTCCACATATGTAACACTGCTCTCTGAAATTAAATTTCTTAGTGGAAGCCCTTGTTGTTCATGTCACATTTGTGTCATTTAACAGCTGCTTTGATCGATTTAGGATTGTTATAACGCTTCTGGCCTGGCTGTATATACATAAATCTCTGTTATACGTTCATTATCCCTAGCACTGGAGGCTTGTAAAGTTTTAACTCCCTTTTCTTTCACCAACTCCTAGAACTCACGGACAATCCCAGCTCCGATGTAGAGAGAAATTTGAGTCTCAAAGTCATAAATAACTTATTTCAAATACACAATATTATTAACTCAATCAACTGTTTATTATCTATTAGGCTTTGGCTTCAACTGAGTCTAGGAGAGTTTTGAAAGGTGGAATAAGACCCTTTTTGTTGTTGCCCACTGGTTTATTAGGAAGAAGGTCATACATACATAGATGGGGCTACATACCATCACTGAGACTGGGCCTCCTCCAAAAGCTTTTGCCGGTCAATGTGATCAGCTGCAGTAGCACTCCAGTTTCGAACTTCCAGTAGAGCCTGTATGTCCGATGTCACTGAGTCCTCCCATCTTACATTTGACCTACCAACCTTTCTTTGTCCATGCATCTTTCCGGATAGCATTTATCTGGGTATCGCCAAATCATTCATACATGCGACGTGCCCTGCCCATCGAAGTCGTCCTATCTTGATAAACTTTGCCAAGTCTATGTCCTCCCATCCTCTCTAACAGGACCAAAAATCCTTCTCAACATTGATCTCTCAAAGATCAGAAGTCTATTTTCATCTTGCTTCTTTAAGGCCCATGCTTCTGATCCATAAGTTAAAACAAGGCGGACCAAGGTTTTGTAGAGAGTTATCTTGATCCTGTTAGAGAGGATCCTGCTTCGAAAGGCTAAAGTAGCACCGTCTCGCCGTTGCTATCCTTCTGTTGGCTTCTCTAGAGATGTTGTTTTCGGAGTTGATCTCAGACCCGAGGTAGACAATGCTGCATATCTTTTCGAAATTATATGTTCCAGCTACTAAAGAACCGGTCCCTGGCCCATCTCCTCCGACTCTCATATACTTGGTCTTAGTTTCATTAATTTGTAGCCCAAGTTTCTTTGCTGCATCTTCTATGGGCAAGAACGACTCTCTTAATGCACGTTCCGATCTGCCGGCAATATCAAAGTCATCAGTGTACCCAAGAAGCCGAACGGTAT